GGGAAATTGCAAGTTCCCTACTTACCTAGATCAGTACAGCTTCGCCGCATCAGTTGCGCGCTCAGGGCGCTAAACCTTACGGGCCTGCAACCACCGACGCCAGTTGCAACGCTTCCCACCCACCTCGATATCGGGGTGCTCTCTCGAACGCGTGATCTCTCGCGTGTTTTGTCTTCTTTGATCGCCCTGTCCTCGCCATCGTTCCACATCCGACCTTTTTGAAGGTTAAGGCCTTAATTTCAGCGATCCCAAAGATTCTCTAGCTTTCCTTTCCACTTTCAGGCCGTTCCGCAGCTCAGTCATCACTACGAAGCGCTCTTATCACCGGTTTTATCCCGGGGCTTGCCTTTAACTAAGAGCAATGATAAACAAAAACAGTTTGACATCGCTAACCGGTATCGACGATAGGTATTCCATTCCATTTGCAACTTGCATTGCAAAAGATATTAAATCGCTAGTGGCCAGCATTGTGCTGTCAGAGATCAGGCGGTCCGACTCCATATCGTTTGACCAATCGGGAATTTGTTCGGACTGAACGAAAATAATTATAAGGAGCAGAAAGAAATAAATGGAGGAAAAAGAGCAAGGTAACACACGGTTACTTTTACGCCCGTGAAATATGAAAATAGAATTTCTAAGGAGTGCCGCAGTGAATAAAAAAGAAGAAACCAAGCGAAACGGCAATAACCCGAGAATTCCACACCTCGCCGGCCGGTTTTGGGTAGTGGGCAATCGAACGCTAGATACAGTATTAGGTAGGGTTACCCCGGAAAAAGGTACGGCAAGTCCTTGCTCGAATCTGCTGTGTACAAGTTTCTTTAGCGCCATGTATCGCCCCGGGTGCGTAGCGCCGGGGTAACCCCACCCAATACTGTATCTGCCGCTAGATTGATCGGTACCCCCACCCCCCAGCTAGCAAAACTTATCGTCTGTTTGGAAAAGTTTTTGCCCCTCTCACTATCCATGAATGTCGTGGCATCTGCCTTTAAGTACGACAAAGAAAAAGAATGATCAACGACTAGTAGAAACTCACGGCATAATGGCTCTTGACACTGGAGTCAGGTCGCAAATAACCGTCATCAGGTATTTGAGATTGTTTCAATTCATTGATGAACTTGTTCTTATGCTTTAGAAGGTATTCCTTCAGACTGCCATTGTCACAAAGTTCGACAACCACGTAGAGTTCTCCACTGCAACATTACAAGTTACTAACGGAAACACACGTTGGTCTCCGTAATCAGCCTTCAGTGGCAATGGAGTGGAGTACAGCTCCACCTCAACTCCCTATTACTTTTTAACACATTGTGGACCGCCTTTAACGAGGACCCCCATACTTTTTTTATGTTTTTAGAAAACGAATCATCATTAATCTATCAACAATTTTATCAGTGATGATACTTATGTTTCCTGGCTCTGAAAATGAGTGCAAACACTTCAGGAGCATTGAAAAATGCCAAATAAATCAGATAAAACTATGATCTTTCGCTTGAAATCGTGCGCCACATGGTGGCGCACGCGGTACGCAATGTGTTAAAGGAATCTTCCACGGACCATGGACCAGTGGGCGGGACCGG